GAAAAACAGAATGGTTGTATAGGGACAGGATGGCCCTAAGTGTGTTGACTGTTTACCTTCATGATATTTTGTCTGACTGGGAGCTGCTTTTGCCTGTCATCATGAGAGAGGATTGTAACACATATCTCTAGTCCAGGAAAAGATCCAAGTTCAAAATTAGAAATACAGTTTCTACTAACTGCATCTTGCTTTCATACTATCATAAAGTCAAAAAATCGTAAGTCAAATCTTTATAACTCAAGGACCATTTGTAGCTATCTGGGTACTGATTCATAAGGAAAATGATGGGTGGCAAACCAAATTTGTTTACTTTCTGATAAATTTATAAGTGATTTCTGATGGAAATATAGAGGGAGAGTTTCTCAAACTATTCCAACATCTCCAACCCCCACCCGAGTGGCAAAAGAAAGGTTCTAGCTGCAAAGTCGAGTGGCCTAACACACTGGCTTTGAAGTCAGGTGTTTTATTTGAAAAACCCATGTGAACTTTGCATTCTATTCCACCATGTTGCCATATTTGTTGAAATATTACATGACATTTTAATATAAAAGCTAAATTACTTTCCTGAATCTTTGAGAACAAGTGACACTTCAGGAGCAAATGCTTTATTTACCCCGTGGCTCTGTCTACCCCTTGGACGATGGCTCAGCTAAATGGATTTGGAGTTACAACTGGCTCCAGGTTCAAAATGCATTAGAACAATGGGTCCACATCAGTGAGAAGACATGTAACAATAACGAATGTCAATTCCCACATTTACATTTCAACAATAATATCGCCAACACCACTAAACCAAAAACTGTAATGAGTTGCCTCTCTCAAACACTGTGTGCCAGATTCTTTACAAATCATTTTGTAGGTTGCATTTCACCCCCCCTGCTCAGCACCTCTATAAAACAGGTACCTGATAATGATAACTCCATTTTATAAACATGGGAACCAAAGCTTAGAGAGTAATGTCCTCACAGCGTCCTAGAGATGGTAAATATCAGCTGGGGGATTCATATCTAGCTGGCCTGCTTCCAAGCCTAACCTCTGCATGCTAATGCTTCTCAGGAAATCACATGAACAAATGCAACATGGTAAAATCCTCAGGTAGTTGTGGATCCGAGACTTTGAGTTTACCACCACCTTAATTTAAGCATGGAGCTACAAAACAAGCACAGTGTTGGTTGCCATGGGAGGGAGGGCTCAGATAAGCACAGACCACGGCCCTAGTGGTTAACACAAACTATGGGTGTTCAGTTCTGGGCCACATGATGTTAAAATACGGACCATCTAGAGTAAGTCCAGAGTACGGTGGGCATGGAAGTCATGACTTGGGTGAATGTGAAGCTGGGAATATTTTATCATGAAGAGTTGAAGACTAAGTAGATATGGTAGTTATCCTTTTCACTATTTCTAGCAAATTGTGGGAGAAACCATGTTGACATTGATTTGAGAAAAGAGGCTCCAGTTCGGCATGACTTATAGTTTCTCAGGCAGTGAGTGAACTTTTTCTCTTTCCATGGCCCTTCCTCGTCTTCCCTTCTTCCCATGAAGAAGACCGATCATTCTTCATGCTGATGTTTAAACAGCATCTCAAAACTTGAGAGTACTGCTCTAGGAGACAGGACACCTGAGTTCTCATCTTGGAACTGCTGTACTGCTACGTTTGGCCTTTTGTGAATCTCCTGATCTGTGTGGGTTATGTTCTTTATGCCTCTACCTACTTTACTGGCCAAAATGAGATCATACAAATGAAACTGTTGGAAAGTATAAGACATCATGCACTATTGTTACTAATACTCTTTGAGTTAGTTGCAACAATGCCTAAAGCCAGGATTATTGTTGAGTAAATGTCACACCTGTTGGGGACAATAGCCTGCAATAACCATGCTTTCACCTCCGCTACACAGCATATTTTTAGACTTTCTGCAATGCTACACTGCTGTTTTTCATTTTAAATCCAGTCTGGCTTCTCTCCTTAAAGCAAGAGGACTTTTAAAGCGAGTGGCTGGTAGTATAACTGGCACATATATCGAATCTCCTTAGTCTGGGCTGTTAAGTAAGTTTAATTAATTTACTAAGTTAATGTTCCACTGCTAGCAACAGAGCCTCATTGCCATCAGCTGGGGAGAGGGAATTGAAAGCCTAAATGAGCTCATTTTTTCACAGTTGGAATTAGGGACCAGTTAGCCAGTTGTGTGGGTTTTCCAATTTCTCCATCTGCCCTGGGGGGATTCAGGCAATTCACTCCCCCAACACTAAGTGTGAGTAAGAACAGAAAGAGGAAAGGGGAAAAGAAAAAAAAAAAAAAAAAAAAAAAAAACAAAAAAAACACCTCTGCCCAACATTTGCTTCCATTTTTGGCACTGGAAGTATTGTGTGCACATTGCTTGTTAAGTTGGGTTTTGGAGAAGCTTTTGCTAATGTTCCTAATAGATTTGGAAAAGAGAAAGGCCTCAGTGAAAGATATTTACCATGTGCATTTTCATTGCAGGGTGTGCAGATAAAAGGAAAACAAATAAACAATAAAAGAATGGAAACAAAATTACGGAAATTTGCAAAATTTGACAAATGGTGGCCTGTAGTTGCCACAAGCTAATGGCTTGCAATGATTAATAAGAGTAAAAATAATTGCATTTCATTAAGATTGATGACACCCCATTTAACCTCCCCTCTCGTTTCAGCCCTAAAGTGGAAAGAGATGAAGTTCTCATCTATAATAGCTCCTGTAACATTACCATGGAAACTGAGGCAAAGATGGAGTGTGAGACGCCTAATCAGCCAATTACCGCCAAGATTACTGAGATACGGAAAAGCCGGGGCCAGAACACTCAGGTATAATCAAATCTTTTTTACAGACTGATTCAAACAGCTCAAATTAAATTTGTAATATTGTGTACATTAAAAAAACAATTTAGTCCAAATGGCAGCGATATGTAATATTAAATGCTCTCAAACTTTGAGAAGCTGGTCTAATGCACAACATCTGAATTCGTAGTTAACTCTGGTTAATCATATATTTTCTCAAAAATAAATGAGTGCTGCCTGGGCTCTTTTAAAGCAAATTCTGAACAGATAATCTCCTCCGCATTTTGTCCTGCTTTCTGTGTGCATGTTTGAAAGGGGCTCTCTGTGGTGGTTTATTTCTGCATGAAATAAATGGCCCTCAATTTAACCAGGCCCTTCTGGAAGGTTTCCAAATCACTCAGCCATCCTCAGTTGGCGGGATGGCAATGTCTGCTGGTCCATCCGGTTCATCTGTTCCATGGAGATCAGAGTGGAAGCTTCAGCTTCTGAGGTGATTACCTGGAAATTAGAACTGGGAAGCACTGTGGGGGCATTTGGTCTAGCCTCTTTACCTTAATTTATCTGTTTGGAAATAATCTAAACCACCCTTCCAAGTGGCTCCCCTAAGAATGTGTTCTTAAAAGTCCCCACTGAGAGAGAGTGTCCATAGCCTCCTCAGGAAGTTTTTGAGAATTGAAATCAGAGGCTGAGGGCTCTTTGGAAATATATCAGATCATCTTTTACAACTCTCTGGACTTCTCACGATGCATGGATAAAAAATAATATTTATTGAGCACCTACTCCCTTAGGTGCCGTTTTCATTATGAAAGCAATTCTTAGATTTCCTTTTTGTCTCTTTGATTTGGAAGAAACGTTAATGGAGCGCCTATTATGTGCTGCACACTACATGAGATTGTCTACTGAATGCTGCTTTGGTTAAACCTTCCCAATCCCAAACTATACTTCCTGGGTTTGTAGGCATAGTTTTTGTTTATTATTATTATTTTTTAATGTTTATTTATTTGTTTTGAGAGAGAGTGCTCAAGTGGGGCAGGGAGGGGCAGACAGAGAGAGGGAGAGAGAGAATCCCAAACAGGCTCCATGCTGTCAGCTCAGAGCCTGACGCAGGGCTCGAACTCACAAACCGTGAGATCACGACCTGAGCCGAAATCAAGAGTCAGCCGCTTAACTGACTGAGCTACCCAGGTGCCCCCCGTGCCCCTCTCTTGGCAGTTGGCTGTCAGCGATAGCTCAAATGTTTATCATAGGGCAGTAACTTTGCTGATTGTATTGTGTATCAGTATTGTATTGTGGAACGAGAGCTATAGGACACCGAGTAACCTCGAAGCCTTCCCAAGCCCCGGTTTCTGCCTGAGCACATCCTGTTGGGATGCTCGTGTGAAGAATGCCAGTGAAAGGGAGGGAGAGGCAGTTTGCACAGTGCCTAAGTGCGGGCTCTCGAGCTAGACTGTGGGGGTTTGAACATATCACTTGCCACCTGGTGGACTTCAGACAAGTTGCTTAACCCCTCTGTGCTTCATTTTTCTCATGTGTAAAGTGGGGATAATAATAGTACCCACCTAATAAGATTGGTTGGAGGTTCATATCCTAACATGTGAGCCACTGTAACCACTCCTCACAGCAGACAAATGTGCAGTGTTAGCTGATACTGGCAGGGCTAGTTTGTTGGTAGTAGTGTTAGCAAATGATCTGCCATTATTTCTGTATGGGGCTTGCTGCTTTGACCAGATCATTTTGCTTCTTAGATTCCATTTAATTTTTCATCATCTCAAGGAGTAATTTTGAATTTTTGTTAGAGGTCTAAATGCCTCAGTCTTCTTTAAATTTATATGCAGCATGTATTTATTGAGATCCAGCCATGTTCAAGGTTCTCTGCCATGCTCTGAAAGAAATAAAAAATAACATGGAAAGAGACCCCTTTAGGGGATAATAGGGAAGAGAGACCATATAAGAAGTAGGTGAGGCTCAAAGCTGGACACATAGTGTCCATTAATCACAGTTGCATGGAATGTTGGCGCCATCCAGACAAGCCCCCTCATTCAAGAGATGAGCTAACAGGTCCTTAAAGAGAGGTGGCCTGACAAAGGTCACACACCTAGTAATTTGGCATCATAGCCCACATGGCCATAAATCATTATGAGGGATGTAAACCATTTAATCTTTACGAACCAGCTGGGCTTGTGTGTGAAAATCTACTAGGCTAGTGCCAGTGTCTAGGAGATACCAGTCCTGGTATGTATGGTTACCCTATAGGTGTTGGGATGTCTGGTTTCCCTTCTCAGGTGTGGTGTTGACCTGTTACCTGTGTAGGCATACACAATTGCCTTATCTGGACCTGAATCTGGGGAAAACCAGTGCTGACAGGTGCTTAACTGGTACTAGAATTCAGGTCTCCAGCTCTAAGTACTAGGTGAGAACCTTGGAACATATCTTTCATAAAATGTTAATGAGTATTTTGTGATGCAAGTGTTCCAAGGTCAAATACATTTGTGACAGTTGGATTAAAGAAAGGTACGTATTTTCTCTCCCCCAAAGGACTTTTGAGAATGTTCACATGTGAACACGTAATGCGGATTTCTAAGAGAGAGCATTTGTGTGGAGTATTATCCAAATCTGTTTATCCCCGGACCATCTTACTTTCAGAATCTCTCTTGTGTTTATATGTGTTTGCTGCTCTTAGGAAAATGTTGCTCATGCTGTGCTATTCCCCTACTGTCAAGTGGGGTATCAGAGGTGGGAAAGATTATTTCCATATGGGGCAGTATTCCAGGTCTGCTGAAGCAGGTGGCATTTGTATCATGCCTTGAAGAATGGGCAGGGGTTAGGCATTCAGGGTTGCCAAGGAAAGGTGTTTCTGTAGAGGAACCAGGATGCACAAGTCACTGAGGCAAGAACCCATAGGGACAGTGCAAAGAACATGATGTGTGTGAAGGGGAGTAGTGAGTTGTAGGTTTGGAATGGTAGGCTGGGATTGTGACGGCAGGCTAAGTGTTTGGCCATTGAATTCATCAGGTGACGGGTTATCTTTGAGCAGTTACTGCATGATCACAGGTGTGCTTTAGTCACACAAAACAGTGTGATCTGTTTGTTGTGTGTGGGGTAACTTGGGCAAGCCACGGGAGGCAGGAGCATCTCAACTGGGCGACAGAGCACCGAACTAGGGAAGTAGTGGAGGGAATGGAGAGGAGGAACACATACGATAGTCTGTACTTGATAACTTGGGTTAGTCAAAGTGTTCAAAGATATGGAAAAGGAAATGTGGTAGGTAAGAAAATGGCATGCCGACTCTTGAAAATGATCTCTTCAAATTTTTGAAATATATATAATATATACATCCATGCTCATGACTCCCCAGTTGTAATCTTCCCCTCCATCCCAAAGCTCTCTCTTGAACTTTAGATTCCTGAACCTTAAGGCTTACTGATCTCTTTCCCTGGATATGGAAGTGGCATCTCGAATCTCTCAGATTCTAAATTCAACTCCTGATTGTCCCTGCTTGTCTGTGCTACTCCTTGTTCCCCACCATAGTCCTGGACTGAGTTGGTGTCTTTTCAGTTGTTCAGGCCATGGAGACATTTTTGGACTTCCAAATTCTACATCAGATCCATCAGGAAATTATGCTGATTGTACCTTTAATCTGACTACTTTGTACCAAGTCAGCTATCGTCATCACTACCATGCTTTACTGAGTATTACAAGACTCACCCAACTGGTTCACTTGTTTCCACCCTGGCCTCCCTTCAGGCTCTTTTAATGGGACTCTCATGATCATTTCGAAATATGTCAGATGATTTCACTCTTCTCACCAACTTTCTATTGGCTCCCAAATTCTCTTGCAATTAATAGCTGAGTTCTTACATTGACCTAAAGGGCCATTTTATGCACCAACCCCCTCCTCCAGTTCCTCTCTATATTTACCCCTCATTTCTGTCACATGTACCTTCTCTGTTCCAAGCCCTTGGAAGTTGGGCTTGGAACTTCCTTCCAAGGAAGGAGTACTGGCTCCTTGCAGTTCTTGGAACCTACCAGGCTTGCTTCCACACTGAAACCTTTGCATTGACTATTCCTTCTACTTTGAATACTCTTCCTCCTTCTTTTTGAGATATAACCTTTTACTTTTATAAATGTAATGTAAATGTAAAAGCTGAAATGTTCCTTCCTCATCAAGGTCTACCTTTACCACCCTATTTAAAACTACGCCCCACTGCTGCCCATTCCATATATCATACTTGCAATTTCACTTAATCTGTTCTATTTTCCCATAGTCCTTATCACCTGCCAATATGCTACATCAGTTACTAATTTATTATGTTTATTGTTTAGTGTCTGACTTGCTAGAATATGATCTTCCAGAACGCAGAAATGTTGACCTGCCTTGTTCACTCGTATATCCCAAGTGCCTAGAACAGAGACTGAATCAATTGTACTAACAGTATAGAAATGCAAACAGGGGTAGTTAAAACAAGCCAAATCACATATTGCTTCTCTAATCCTGTCCCCTGAAGATTCTTATCTGAAAGGAAACAGACACACCCACACACAGGTGTACCCACACCCATTTCCACACAAAAATGCTATTGTGTTATTCATCTTGTTCTTCAACTTGTATTTTTAAAAAGTTTTTATTATTTATTTTTGAGAAAGACAGTATGAGCAGGGGAGGGGCAGAGAGAGAGGAAGAGTCTCAAGTAAGCTGTCGGCACAGAGCCTGGTGTAACTCACGAAATGTGAGATTGTGATCTGAGCCAGAATCAAGAGTTGGACCCTTAACTGACTGAGCCACCCAGGCTCCTCATAACCTGTAATAATAATAATAAAAAAATCTAATGGCACTCTAGGATATAAGCTCCTTTGAATAGAACTTGGTTTTGCCACTGCTGTTTCCAAATGCTTTGAACTAGGCCAGTACGTGGCAGATCTCATTAAAAATTATGGAATGGATGAATGGATTTACAAATGAATGAATACATCATGGTCTTCTTTTCATTTCAGCTCAGGTATGTTTTTCTTTTCTTTACAAGGCATTA